AAGGTAGAGATTTCTCGGCAGACTTAGACATGAAGCGTCTGAGGGCTGCCAGCCGGCCGGTAAGAACCTGGACTTCCTTCACCAATCTCGGAGGCTCCATGTCAAGTATCGCTCTCACCTTCTCAGGATTTGGTTCAATCCCCCTCCGCGTGACCATGTATCCTAGGAATTTGCCTCCCTGAATGGCAAAGGTACATTTCTTCGGGTTCAAGCGCAGCTGGACTGACTTCATGATCCCGAAGATCTCTTTGAGGTCGTCTGCATGGTCTGTCTCCCGAGTGCTCTTGACGATCATGTCATCGACGTAAGCTTCCATGTTCCTTCCCAGCATGGTCCGGAACACCTTTGCGACCATCCTCGTATACGTTGCCCCATAGTTCTTCAGGCCAAAAGCCATGACTAAATAACAGAAGACTCCTTCCAGGGTAATGAACGAGGTCTTCTCCGCGTCATCTTCATGCATAAATATCTGATGGTATCCCCGGAATGCGTCCATGAAGCTGAGGAGCTCGCACCCGGCCGTCCCATCAACTAGCTTGTCAATGTTAGGTAGAGGAAAAGGGTCCATCGGGCACGCCCTATTGAGATCCGTGTAATCAACACACATCCTCCAAGTCGGCGGCTTCGGTGTTAGGACCACGTTTGCCAGCCACTCCAGGTACAATACCTCCTTGATGTGTTTGATGGCTAAGAGCATAGCAACCTCCTTCTTCACGAACTCCCTTCGTTCTACTGAGAGGTGCCTCCTTTTCTGCTGGACCGGCTTCACTGTCGGATCAACCGCTAGCCTGTGAACGGCCACTCTCCTGTCCAATCCCGGCATATCTTCAGATCCCCATGCAAAGACCATAATGAATGTGATTAGAACTTGGATAATCTTCTTCCTTAGCTCGACTGGGAGCCCCGCACCGATCTTTATTTTTCGGTCCGGGTGTCTGGGATCGATTTGAACCTCTTCAACTTCGAAGGTGGGTTCAGCGCGGAGCTGACCCTCCTCGTACTTCATAGCTTTACTATTGATAATGTGGACCCTAAGGTCCTTTTGCCCGATCTGCTTGCATGCCTTCATGTAACAGCTCCACGCCATCTTTTGATCTCCCCGGGCCACCCCAACCCCATTCGGGGTAGGGAACTTCATGCATAGGTGTTCCTGGGAGATGATGCACTTCAAATCCTCTAATGCGGGCCTCCCCATGATGATCTTGTGCGGGCAAGTCAAATGTACCACTATGAACTCGATGTTCAACCTGGCAATGCAAGGCTCGGAGCCAACCATCACAGAAAGCACCACACTGCCCTCTGACTCGATTGAGTCCCCAACAAATCCTGAGAGCGTTGTTTTAACGGGACTCAAATCAGCTTTACTTAAGCCAAGGCCCTGGAACGTGTCATAATACATTATATTCACCGAACTTCCATTGTCTACAAGGACCCGGTGAATGATAGTATTATTAATTTACACCTTGATTACTAGGGCATCCCTATGCGGCGGTGGCATGAGTGGTAAGTCAGCATCGGTGAAATAGATTGGGTCCCTCTTTGACCTCTTCTCCACAGGCATCCGAGTAATCTCCCCGATGTATAAGGATCGAGCCCACTTCTTCCTCTCGCCCGAGGTGTCACCTCCTTGAGGGCCATCAATGATGTAGGAACACCTGTAATGCTTATGGGGTCCCCCTTCCTGGTCGTACTCATCATCGCCAGACAGAGCTCCGAGCTCGCGCTTCTTCAACGATTGGTCCATGGGATGCTTCTCCTTGGACGTGGTAGCCTGGTCGGGTCGCTTCCACGTCAGATTCTTCTTCTGTTGGTTGCTTCCCTGCTTCCCCACGAACTGGCCCAAGTACCCTTGTTTGATGAGCGCCTCGATTTGCCTTCGGAGGACAATGCATTCGTCTGTGTCATGCCCGAAATTCTTGTGGAATCTGTAGTACTTGTTGGTGTTCTGCTTGGCGGTTACCACGTCACACTCCTCGGGGAAGGCTACCAGGCCCTGCCCCTTGGCATAGTCCATAATCGTCCCGACTGGTTGAGCCAAAGGTGTTAGGTGTTTGGTTGGTAAGAGTGGGCCGCTTGGAACATCCATCTTTCCCTTGCTCTTGTTCTTCTTGCCTTTGAATTTTCCGCCCTTACCACCAGGCTTCGTATCAATGTTCTCATCTTCTGGGTTATCACGCTTCTCCTTGTCTCCCTTCCTTCCTTCTTCATCATCTTTCTTCCTTTGCTTGGCGTCTGCCGCCTCAGCTTGGCGGTCCGCACGCCTCAGGGCTTCCTCGTACAAAGTTGGTGGATTTCTGATAAAATCCTTGTAGAGCTCCCATGACCAGATGGAATTCGTCAGCATAGCCACCCTGGTCCTATCGTCAAGGCCCTGGACCTTAACTGACTCTGCTCTCCATCTTGCCAAGAATACAGACAATGCCTTCTTCTTTCCCTACTTCAGACTGAACAGGTGGCTGAAATTCTTCTTCACGTCTCGGGAACCAACGAATCTTTGGAGGAAATGCCGGGCCAACTCCCTAAAATTTCCAATGCTTCCGTCGGGCAGCGTGTCATACCATTCTCGGGCTGGGCCATCTAGCGTAGTTGTGAATCCCCTGCATCGTATGGCGTCTTCATATCCCATCATGACCATATACGATAGATATCGTGATATATGGTGCTGAGGGTACGAAGTGCTCTTGTATGTCTCGACGTTGCAAGGCTTGTATCCCCTCGGCAACGGCACTTCCATCACTGCACGAGTGAATGGTTCCGGGATGTGGAGGTCGGCCATGTATGGCTCTCCCCCAACAACCCTCCTCCTCAGCTCGTCCAGTCTTAGCCTTAAATCTTCCACTGCATCGGGTGCTGGCCCCGCTCGTGCGCGTCCAGCGCAAAGCTAAACTTGCGCGGAAGACTCTGCAATCCTCTCAACTATGTGAGGACCAGATTCAGCCTGGCGTCCGCCTAGGGAGCTAACCCGCCTACCTGGTTGACGGGAGTGATAATGCGAATCACCTTCTCCTTCCGGAACGAGTGTTGCCGGGAAGGCCTCCTTCCGGGATGTCGTGGTTGTTCAACTTGCCGGGACAACTCCCTCCGGGATCCATCTGTGTTGGTGCGTCCCCCTTGATACCACCCGAAGGATGCTTCCAAGTCTCTAAGGGTGATATGACTCGAACGCTCGTGCTCCGTCTCTTGTAGCATTAGTCTTCGGAATCCCCGGGCCAAATCCTCAATAGCACGAGTGGTTTCCTGGAGAGCCTGCACCCCAGCGTCAAGCGGTGCCGGGTTCCGGCACGGAGCAGTACGACGCCCACCACCGAGACGATCATGGACGGATCGCCTCTCACGACTTTGGTCCAACGAACCTCTCAAGTCTCCAGGACTCGACAAGCTGTTCCTCAGGTCCCCCGTCAGCCTCACCATCTTGCTTCTCACGTGATGGCCGTTGGGCTGCTCTGAGCGCTCGGTGTGGATGGAAACTCTCTCTTGCCTTGATGTTCCTGCCATCTTCCTCTTCAAAGTTTCTACCGAAAGAATGAGAGACATCTCTCAATGAAAGCACCAATGTTGGTAGAAAATAGCTCGAGAGAGGAAAGGGCAGCACTTCAGTATAGTAGAAGTAACGTAGAGAATACATGGGGGGTTGATGACCTATTTATAGGCATCCATCATAAGCCCAAGATCTAATCTACGTGGGCTTGGCCCAAATTAAATACATCTCCCAGCTAATGGGCGAACCGGCCCGATAAATAAGTAAATGAGCAACGGGCGATTCCCGCTCATGAGACCGTGTCCTAGGCCTAGTTGGGCCTAAGCTCGGGGATATCAGGGCGATGGCACTGGGCTTGGCCCATTATCCCAAAAAAGTCTTTAAGGGACAACCCGAATAGGAAAATAGGCACTTTATTTATAGATAAGGATGTATTTGTTATATTCAATACTCTGTATGAAAGTATGTTTGTCAATGATAATAGAACATTGCATTTCTACAAATTTCAGTCAAGTTGTAGTGTACTACCTCCGTCCCTTAAAACTTTGCCAAGTTTGACCGGCACAGGGATTAATAAAGTAAAAACTGTGTGGTAGATGTTTGTGCAGAGGAGAGAGAATTAATTGGAACCACAAATTCTTTACTTAAAAGAGAAAGTGGCAAAGTTAATTGGAATCCAAAAAAGGAAAGTTGGCAAAGTTTTAAAGGACGGAGGGAGTATTATACATCATCATACATGATTTGTTGAAAATTGTATGAATTTTATAGCATTTTATGATGCTTATCCATTTATTTTTGGTTGAATATTATATCTGATGTGGTAAATGCTAATCAACATAAACTTAACTGTTTTGAGAGGTGATTCTTTTTTCTAATGGTTATGAAGATGCAATATTAGTATTAGATAATAAAAAATTCTATGTCATGATTCTTAAGTAAGAAAAATCAGATGTTAATTTATATTATTTTAATATTTCTTTTTCTCTTTTATTTTGTCTTACACTTTATCTAAATAATAAATATATTAAGGTGAGACGAATTGTTGTTTTTGTTTTCTATTTCAAACAAATCAATAAGCATATTAAAATGAATCAAATCGAAATAAATTATACCGAATCATTATCATTTTGAAAATCCGAACCTGAAATCAAACTCAACCTAATCAAAACTAAAGTGAAAAATAAAAGATTTTAATTTGATACAGTATTTGTGATGATATCCGATAAAACAAAACCTAAATTGAAATGGAGGAGATGGATTGCTCACAATACAATGCACGCGTTCCACTCATAACATCGACATTGGATATTTAATTCATAAGGTCTAAACGTTATGGTTAAAAAGAAAGATGACACCTCATCCTTGAGGGCTAAACTACCAAATGGCAAATGCATCGTTAATGTGATTGAGAGTTCAAGAAGACAAAGGGTAAAATGGTCCCACAGCATAAAAATGAATGAACACAAAAGAAGGCTCAAAGCAGCTATATGAACCACGCACGTGATGCTGAGGTGAGGTCCGACTAACTGGGACCAGCGGTGATTATGAAAGCAGATCCGAATTTCGGGGCTAAATTGACCCGAATGTCATTTGAGGCTGAGGCCGAGTCAATCGGATTTACTCACGTATTAAACCGAGGGCAGGCAGAAACTATTCCGTTTAAGGAAGAAGATCAGAACGCGAGAGAACAATATCCAGCTCCAGCCGCCTCCTAATACAAATCCATAGAAGGTATCACGTCTGTATGTTCACATCTCCCGTCAAAGATTGAATTTTTGAGGTTATACATTGGGTAAAGGTTGATAATTTGCTCGAAAATCCAAACGCCATCTTCGATTATGCATTTCAATTGTTTATTTTTCGTTTGCAATTTAAACGTTTCGATTATGCTTCCGTTGGAATCGGGTCTGTGGATCTGCAAATGCTTGTTCTGAAATGAATGCAAGGTTCATGGTTGTTAATAACCTCTGAGGCAGTTATATTTCATTGATATTATAATGTACAAGTTTTGGCGTTTTGCCTCCATGTACCATTTCTGGTTGGGAACTTTTGTGTTTCATGACATTTTTTACTTTCAGAGAAAGTTTAGAAGATGGCCGAAGGTGAGGATATTCAGCCCCTGGTGTGTGACAATGGTACAGGAATGGTCAAGGTACAAACCTTTATCATGTAGGCTATGTTTGGAACTCAGAAAATGACAAGGAATGAAACAAAATGCAAAGGATAGTATTTTTTTTAAACGTTTAGCTTAAAGTTGGAAATTAAAGAGTAATGCAAAAACAAGTTTGGGCCAATTTCTAAGATTTATATATCGAGTTTGAACTAGTTTTTCCCTCCTTTCTAGGCCTCTTTCGATGGGGTTAATCAGATTATTTCGCTTATTCTCCTTTTGAGAAAAATAAGTGAATCATTCATAATAAGCACATTATTGAGTAGCCTTTGACCTATCTATATGGATGAAGTCAAGTTTACCAAACGTTTTTTCCTTCACAAGATTCAGTGGGACCACCTAAGGGTGGAATTGTGGAATCAGGCTGCTTGGAGTTGTGTTGGGACCGAAAAAGCGCAGTTGATATCGAATTGTATTAGTTTGGACCGAAAAGAATGTCCAGTAAATTCAGGCTGGCCCGGATTTTATGCATTTTGATTCAGTGCATTTTCAGCCGGGCCAGTTTGTGTCCGTGAATGTCATTTTTGTATTTGTAGTATTTCCACCATGTTTTCATACATTTCCACCTCGGTTGAAGGCTCCCTATAAGAAATGACACAATTTTTAGGCAATAGTTAAATAAACTAATTTGAGCATATTTTGAGAAGTAGTTTGGGTGGATATATAATATAATGGGGCAATTGATGATAATTGTGTTGTTATGGCTCTATTAATTTTAATATGTGATGATAAAATTGTCATGTAAGAAAGTTAATTATTTCCTAAAATGGAATGAAAACCTTGATGTGGGACGTCCAAAAGAGGTAAGTGAGAACGTTGAAATGGGATAGTGGGAGTACAAATCACCAACAACGTTTCACATAATAATTTTCAACAGTTAAACTGAACCACTTAGAATATCAGGCCTGATTGGGTCAGTTTTTGGGATTGAGGTCGGGTTATCCCCTGCAAGAGTTGTCCATTTCAGAGAAATAACTACTACCAAACAGCCTTGTAAACTCCTCCCTTTTCCTCCCTATTACCTGTTTATCTTTCCCTGGAATTTCTGTGTTCTTAAAAAACCATAACATTAAGGTTGTAGTGAAATCTTTGTATCTGGGCTTGGATTTGGATATTTTGTTTTATTTTTTTGAAATGTTCAGGCCGGATTTGCTGGAGATGATGCCCCAAGGGCGGTCTTTCCAAGTATTGTGGGACGCCCCCGACATACGGGGGTGATGGTTGGGATGGGCCAGAAAGATGCTTATGTTGGTGACGAGGCCCAATCCAAGAGAGGTATATTGACTCTGAAGTACCCAATTGAACACGGGATTGTTAACAACTGGGATGACATGGAGAAAATATGGCATCACACATTCTATAACGAGCTTCGTGTGGCGCCCGAAGAGCACCCGGTACTCCTTACAGAAGCACCTCTTAACCCCAAGGCTAATCGTGAGAAGATGACTCAGATCATGTTTGAGACCTTCAATGCCCCTGCCATGTATGTCGCCATTCAGGCTGTCCTTTCTCTTTATGCCAGTGGACGTACAACTGGTAAGCTTTCCACCTATGTGCTTAAAATAAATGTCATTCATATTATCTATATTATGAAAAAGATATGTACTCCATAAAACTTTCACATTGGTTATCCCATGCCCATTTGGAGGTTGTATGTTGTTCTGGTACACACATTTGTCTTTGGTGGTGGAATAATTCTATCTTTCCAAGATAAATCATACTTTAGTTCTCAAAAGTATATGCCCTTACAAAAAAGGATGGGCCACGCCCAACTGGTGAAGTCTCTCCATTTGTGTATGCCCTTTATATGTTCTACACTCTAGTTCTTTTCTGATAACTCAATCCTATCTACTTACTAGGGGTCCGTTTGGAACTGTAAAAGCACTAGGGAGACAATATAGGGTGAAAATGTACTGGAAGAATATTTGGGGAGAAAATGTAATAGTTGAAGACTTATCATAAAAAATGCATTAAAAAGATGATAAAGAAGAAAAGGAATATCTGAATATGTATTAATCTAGATTGAAACAGGGAATGTGAATTATGATAATGGAAATTTATCAAAATATGACTTAAAAATTTAAATGGTGAATTAGTAACTAAATATGTGTGGCTCACATATTTGTTGTTGGCACTTCTTACCAGGAATTGTCTTGGACTCTGGAGACGGTGTGAGCCACACAGTACCTATATACGAAGGGTACGCCCTTCCGCACGCAATTCTTCGTTTGGATTTGGCAGGACGTGACCTAACAGACCACCTCATGAAGATCCTGACTGAGAGGGGCTACACTTTCACCACTACTGCAGAACGCGAAATTGTCAGAGACGTGAAGGAGAAGCTGGCCTACATTGCTCTTGACTACGAACAAGAGCTGGAAACATCAAAGACCAGCTCTTCCGTGGAGAAGAGCTACGAGCTGCCTGACGGGCAGGTGATCACTATTGGCTCCGAGAGATTCCGCTGTCCTGAGGTTCTTTTCCAGCCGTCGATGATTGGGATGGAATCTTCCGGGATTCATGAGACCACATACAATTCTATCATGAAGTGTGACGTTGATATCAGGAAGGATCTTTATGGAAACATTGTGCTAAGTGGCGGGACCACCATGTTTCCGGGCATTGCTGACCGTATGAGCAAGGAGATCACTGCGTTGGCCCCAAGTAGCATGAAGATTAAGGTTGTGGCTCCACCAGAGAGGAAATACAGTGTCTGGATTGGTGGTTCTATTTTGGCTTCCCTTAGCACATTCCAACAGGTATGCCATTGTACATAGTAGATCTCTCTCTTAAATTCCCAAGTTCATTGACCTGTGTTTGGAGCCTTGGAAATAATAGGAAACGGAAAAAATGCGAAAATAGTTGTTTCTTATTTCAATGTGTGTCTACAGTACTAAGAAAAGCCAAAGTTGGTTAAAAAATTTTAAAACATTCCATAGGATTTAGTTTTTCTTTATATATATGAAGTCTTTTTTTTAAAAGCGTTAAAACGCCATATCTAAAATTGATTCTTTGAGTTAGTTGTTTTTACCCCCCCACACCCACCCACCCACCCAAATTTCAAACTAAGTTTGGTAGTTATTTTATAATGATTTACTGGTTCCCAACACAGTTCCGTAGAGCCTTATAACCCAAAAAGAGACCCAAATCTCAAAACAAAATGTGAGTGTATTATTACCACATACCACTGAATCTCATGGTCGATGCACCGAAGACATTGTACTGTAATGCTCATAACTTATTATTATTATTATTACAAATATCGTTATTATTATTTAATCTAAATGAATCTTTGTATAGACATTTGAGTGTTCTAACATTGAATTTTGGGTGATGACAGATGTGGATAGCGAAGGCAGAGTATGATGAGTCAGGGCCTTCCATTGTGCACAGAAAATGCTTCTAAAATGTTCTGAGAGATGTATACAACAAGAAGCCGTGTTATGAAAATCAGCTGCACTATGTTGCTTCTCATTTGTTATTTTTTTATTAATTATTATTTCCCATAATGTTCATTATATTCAGTTGTTATTTTTATATTCAAGAGATTAGGCCAGTGGGGTCATACACAGTCAGGATGGTCTTGTCTTTCAAATAAAATGAAACGAAGTAACGGATTACTTAGCATGGATTCGTCTGTTTCATGTTTCTTCTTTAGTTTGGGTGTCTTGTAAGTTTATTTCCTCACAGAGAATAATGAACACATTGATGCGATTATATTTGTGATCAACTTTCATCACAGGAGGACTAATATATAGTCCCTCCTTTTTAAACAAAAGTAAAAAACTAGGGAAAAGAAGATGAAGATTATGCAGTAGATATGGTAAATAGGGTTGGACCGGGCCGGGATTGCCCGTAGGGATGGACCGGTTCCGGTTCGGGCCCGGTTCGGGCCTGGGCCCGGCCGAGCCTCGGTTCATGAAGGGGAGGCCCGGAACCGGCCCGGGCCGGGCCGGTTCACCTTTTGAAGGGCCCGAGCCTGAACCACCATCCCACTGGGCCGGGTGGCCCGAACCGGCCAACCAACCGGTTCATCGGGCCGATCCGGGCCTGCACAGTAGCGGGCCGGTCTGGTTCTGGGCTGGTTGGCCCGGCCCGAGTCCAACCCTAGGGATTGGGCAGGCCTAGGTTTTTGGGATGCACGCCTGGTACCGGCCCTGGTTTGTACCAGGACTGGGACGGGTCAATTTTTTTAAAAATTTGTTTTTCTAATTTATTCCTACCCCACTCACCCCATCCGCCTAGCAGCCCTTAAAATGGAAATAAAAAAATAGATCCGGACCGGTCCCAGTCGGCCTAGCAGCCCTTAAAATGGAAATGAATAAAAAATAGACTCTGACCGGTCCCAATCGGCCGGTCAAGTAGTGTGGTGAACTGGCCCAGTCCATGTGTAATGGTAAAACATGCCAAAAAGTTGAATAAAAAAATTGAGCAAGCCAAAAAGTGGGGTAAAAATAAGAAAGTAAAAATTGAATACTGCATAACCATCCACTATTCTTAGTAAAAAAAAGCAAGAAACGGTGCAACTACCATTATTATTATTATGACGAAAGAGTGCAAATGGAAAATTAACATCCGTTTTTCTTATGTACTGAATCTGAATTCGAATGAATACGAAAATGTGTGTTTACTATTTATACTATACTCCGTACTATTCTATTCTATGGTCATGTCTGTCTGTCGTGTATGAGATGAGAAGCAATCCAAACAAAAAGAATGTTGAGATTTTGGGAATGAATTCTAAGCCTCTTCAACTTTAGCTTTCCCCTTTGGATCAGCAGCACCAGCTTCACATTCAGCACCAAGACCAAAGTCGACTGTGGCCTTCAAAAGGGCCGGCTCATCAAACTCAGAGGAAGAAGATTCACCACCGTAGCGTGTTGAGGGCCCACCGTAGCTTGTTGAGGGCCCACCTGGCAAGGAAATGCCTGTCAGCTCCGCCGGCTCGGCACGGATAGAGGAGCCCTTAATCTGCAATCCCGGGACGACCCTGCTCCCTCCGCCGTCGTGATGGTCCACGAAGACGATGACCACCGTGATGTCGTCGTGATGAACCCTCCTCTGCCCCTTCCCCAGGGCCTTGATCTGGTCATACCTAAGGCCGGCCTTCGTCGCCGCCTCGCTCAGAGCAATCCTGATCAGCCCGCGGGCGATGCCCGGTCTGGGGCTCCCATGCACGATCTCCGCGGCCCGTTGACCCATCAGGTGCTCCCACAGCCCGTCCGAAGCGAAGATGATGAACTTGTCGTCGGGCGTCAGCTGCCTTTTGAACACGGTCGGGTCAGATCTCAATATGGGCCGGGTAAGGGCTTCTCCCAAATGGAATCTCGGGTGCTCTGGCCCGAGTGCGAACTCTTGCCTCTTCAGATATGCATCCCCTATGGACCGAGTTATCTGATAAGAATCCAGCAGTAGAAAGAAGCATTCATTAACAAAGAACCCCATTTCAAGAAAGTACTGTATAATAATAATAATAATACATACGTAGTACAATACGTAATACTCCCTCCGTCCTATATTTAACTCCGGTTTTGACCGGGCACGGGTTTTAAGATAGTGAGATTTGTGTGGTGGAGAGTTATGCAGAGGAGAGAGAAATGTGTAAGAATGGTTATGAACCACATATTCTTTACCAAAAAGGGAAAAAGAAGATAAATTTGGGACGGACCGAAAAGGAAAGAATGAAGATAATTCCGGGAAGGAGTGAGTAATAAGAAGGAAGAAGGAAAAATTATAATACCTGAATGATGCCCTTAACACGCCAAGCGCCGTTCTTGAAAATGATAATTTTAGGATCACCAGGATGGAGGGATTTCAATTCTTCCCTAACCTGAACGGAAGAGGCATTGTGTTCATAGGTCAACTGATCAGCAAACATTTGCTTGGTTTTTTTGTTGAGAACGCCAACGACAGCCCCAGAATCCCCAAGGTTAGCGACCAGTAGTGTCCCTTCCTAGATCAGTCCCACCACACAGCATGACCCATTTGCAGTGTTGGAGGTATTGGTCCTACCAAGGCCTCCCTTCCACTTTATTTGTTGAGGCTTGCACCCTATTGTTTTACTCCCACTTTGGTACCTTTTCTTTGGTATATATCCTGATCAAATATATACCTATTTTGAGCGGTTGACTTAATCCACTTGGCTGGCCCCTTCTCTGCTTCCTGTCCGCTGCACTCTTTGTCTGGCAGCCTGTGAGCCTTTTCTTTGTATTGGCTCTCACCCGTGACTTCCTTCTGGCCGTTGCTATTATTTAGAGGCCTTGGCCTCTTCCTGTGAAAGTAGCCTGCGTAAGTTTGTTCCAGAGAGCAGTGCTCTCTTCTTCTCTTTCCCTTTATGTGAGAATAGAGAGAGGGTCTTAGTGGTGAGAAGAAAAATTAGAGTGTGCAAAAGCCTCCCCTAGAGTGGTGTGTGAGAGTGTGTGGAGATAGACCTGAGCCGGAGATGGATATACGGTCCTAACAGTGGTATCAAAGACAGGTTCCGCCGTCTGCCGCCGCCGCTGTCCACCGCCATCCGTCGCCATCCGTCAATTTGAGGTCCTGGAGGTCATCAGTCGTCCACTGAACCCTCGCTTGGTGCCGTTGCCTCCTGTTCACCTAGAATACGGTTCCCCTCGCCATCAGCCGTCGAGTTCGAAGCTGGAGCCATCGTCTGCCTGAGAGCCGTCACCGGAAAGCTCGCGGATTGAAAACTGCCAATCTCGTGGTCGTTGAAATCTCTGCTGGAGCCGCCGTCCGTAGCTGGAGCCGCTGTCGCAGGGAAGGTGCTCGCCGGTCTCCGTTCGTCGCTGGTCTGCAGAAACGCAGGTCGCAGAAGACTGAGACGAAGCAGAGAGAACGCAGAGGCTTGGACTTGGGTTCTTTTTTGGGCCTCTGGACCTGGGCTGTTCATTTTGTAGTGCTGGAGCTGCTGGGCTGACTTTGGGTCTGGTGGACTGCTTCTGGAACTAAAGGAGCTATTGACTGGGCCATCTAAACTGGAGCTGGGCTGCTGACCTGCTGGATTTGGGCTGCCAAGCTACTGGACCTGGACTGACCTGCCGGTCAACGCCGGTCAACACCGATCAACAGTCAGTCAACAGTCAGAAAAATCCCAATTTTTAAATTGGGTAGGTAAGGTCGAAACCCTCTCCTAGGGTTTCGCTAAGGTAAATTGGCGACAAACACCCTAGGTGCACTGGGTGCCTCCAGATTTAATTTATTCCCCCTCCTCGCGGGCCGCCGGTAGATTGTATCCCGGCCGCCAACCCCCCAGGTGCATTTGTTAAACCCTCTCCTTTGTGGCAGATTGTTTAGTTGTTTAAATTGAATTGCATAGTGTTGTTAATTTCAATTCTTGTGCGTAGGGGTGGTTTATTGGGTGTTAGGGGTAGAATTAATTAATGTTAACTGCTGCCCGGAGTTGTTTTATGTGCCAAACTGTCCATATTTGCTATTTGTTGCATGCTGCCCGGGGTTATTAAAGTGTATACTTTATAGCCCGGGTTGGATTATTTTCTGTCAAATTTGTCTGTTTAGCTTTGTGTTGTTTTGTGGTTGATACCATGGCTGTTAATCAGTATGGTATGCTTCCATTTAATGGAAAAACAGATTTTGATATTTGGAAACAGAAAATTAAGTGTGTTTTAATACAACAAAAAGTTTTCAGAGCTGTCACTGGTATTTTCCTTGAATCAGAAGATAAGGCTAAGCAAATTGAAATGAACGAAACTGCTTGTTCTACTATTTACTTGAATCTGTCTGATTTTGTGCTTAGGAAAGTGGGTATTCTTGAGTCCGCTAAGGAATTGTGGGATAAATTGGATAGTCTCTATACTGATACCTCTTTACCCGGGAAGTTGTTTTTACTTGAGAAATTCTTTAGGTTTAGGCTTGACCTGACTAAGGATATAGATGAGAACCTGGATGTGTTTAATAAACTGATACAGAATATCAAACAGGCAGGTGATAAACACATAGACGATTATACTCCCATAGTATTACTTAATGTCATTCCCGACTCTTATAATGATGTTAAGTCCGCTATTAAGTATGGTATGGATGAGATTTCGTTAGATATTGTTGTTAATGGGTTAAGGAGTAAGGAATTAGACCTGAAGCATGCTAGGGGTAGTGCTAGTCAGTCCAGGGACTCCGGTGAGGCTATGTTTGTTAGAGGTAGATCTAAGGGTAGGTCTAAGAACTCTAAGCAAAATAGTCAAAGTAAGAACACTAGTCAGCCTGGGAGAAAGAGGAGCAAATCTAGGAAGAGAGTGTGTTACAAGTGTGGTAACGCTGACCATTTCATTAAGGATTGCCCTAAACCTAAGAAGACCGAGCATGCTAGTGTAGCTGTTGATAAATGTGACCTTGGTGATATTTTGATGGTTTGTGACCATGTTAATTCTGTGCGTAATTCCCTGTCTGATCATGAATTGTTGATTGACTCTGATTGTACCTATCACATGTCCCCCTTTAGAGATTTGTTTTCTACATATGAATTATGTGATAGTGGCTATGTTTCCTTAGCTGATAATAAGAGATGCAATGTGCTTGGTGTTGGTGATATATGTCTGAAGTTTTCTTGTGGCTCTGTGTTTACCATTAAGAATGTGAGGCATGTCCCTGATTTGTGTCATAACTTGTTATCTGTTGCTGCTTTGGAGAGTAGTGGTTTACAGGGAAAGTGGGGGAATGGTTGCATGAAAATCTTGAAAAATTCTCTTGTGTTGTTTAAAGCTGAGAAGGTGAATAACCTTTATGTGTGTCATGCTAAACCTTTTACTGAGTCTGTGAATGTTGTATGTTCTGATAAGACCTCTTTGTGGCATAATAGGCTAGGACATATGAGCAATAAGGGTTTAGATGTCATGCGTAGGGCTGGTTATTTTGGTAAGGACTCTGTGACTTCTGTGCCTTTCTGTGAATCTTGTGTGTTAGGCAAGCAACATAGGGTCAGCTTCCCTCCATCCTCTTACCCTAATCTGTCTAAGTGTTCGTTTGTGCTTGAATATGTTCATGCCGATGTTTGGGGTCCTGCCAGTGTTCCTACCCACGGAGGTAGGAAATATTTCCTTTCTATTATTGATGATTTCTCTAGGAAGGTGTGGGTTTGCCTTTTAGAACACAAGTCTGATGTGTTTGTGAGGTTTAGGGAGTGGAAAACCCTAGTTGAAAACCAAACTGGTAGGAAGGTTAAAACCCTTAGGACCGATAACGGGTTAGAGTTCTGTAATAAGGAGATGGATAAGTTGTGTGTGGATTGTGGGATAAAAAGGCACAAAACTTTGCCTTATACTTCCCAACAGAATGGGATAGCAGAGAGAATGAATAGGTCTCTGTTGGATAAGGTTAGAAGCATGTTAGCTACCTCTGGTTTGTCTAAGAAATTCTGGGGTGAAGCAGTTACTACTGCTGCCTATTTGGTTAATAGGTCCCCGTCTGTCCCTCTTGGTGGTAAGTGTCCTGAAGCCGTCTTTACCGGTAAGCCTCTTGATCTGTCTAACCTTCGGGTGTTTGGTTGTGCAGCGTATGCACATCAACAGGGTGACAAGTTGGATCCTAGGTCTAAGAAATGTGTCTTCCTAGGTTATCCAGAGGGAGTAAAGGGTTACAGGTTATGGGATAGGAACCAGGTAGGCTTTAAGGTGGTCCTTAGTAGAGTTGTATACGAACCGAATCGAGTCGAATAATGAGATTTTGTATTTGTATTTGTTTAATATTTTCGAATACGAATTCGAATTCAAATATGAAACGAATATTAATTTTGATTTGTATTTGTATTTGTTTAACAATACGAATAATTAACGAATCATATACGAATATCGAATCGATTTGAGCTACTATAAGTTAAATATTAGTTTAATATCACTCTAAAAAACTTTTCTTATACTCCGTGTTTTTTATGTTGTAAATGTTTGCTATGACTTAATGTGTGTTTTTAGAATTTAAGTTTAATGGATCAATGCATTTTTAGATGATACACAATATACTAAAGTGAATTAATTTTATGATTAATAAATATCAATCTATTTCAAACTTTTTGAAATATACACTAACACGCACATATTAGAAATTATATATACTTATAATGTGTGAAATAAGTTGATAATTATATATATATATCAAAGTCAAATAACTTCAATTTTATTCTTCAAATCGAATACATAATTATTTGTATTGTATTTGAAAGACATTTGAACCAAAAAATTGATTTGTATTTGTATATATATTCTGATTTATTACAAATGAGCTTGGAATCTGTATGCAAAAGTGTATATATGGATTACACTTTGAGGGTATTGTTATCTTTTAAAAATTATTATAGTGTTATTACTATTATTATTATTATTATTATTATTATTATTAATAATATTAGCATTAATATTATCATTATTATTAATCGAATATATTTGATTAATATTCTAATCGAATACACTGATATTCTTATTTGTATTTGATAACAACTCGAATCAAATTTAATATTCTTATTTGTATTTGTATTTGAATTTTCCGAATTTGAATCGCTTTTTATGAATTCGAATCGCGAATCGAGCACAAATTATTTGATTCGTTTACAACCCTAGTCCTTAGCAGAAATGTGGTGTTTAATGAAACTGATTTTCCTTGCTTGACCGAGTCTGTTTCTAATCTTGAGTCTAGGTCTCATAGTACTCCTGGTGAGGTGGAGTCTGTCCCTGTTGCTGCTAGTCCTTTATCTATTGATCTTGTTATTTCTGATGATATTGTTATGCATGATTTTGATTCCTCTGAGCATGATAGTCCCACCACCTCGAGTGAGGTGGAGCATTTGCATGATACTGAGCATGATTTGCATGACATGGGTGCCGAATCTGATTTTCATGACAACAATAATTTGCATGAGTTGCATGTGGAGTCTAGTAGTGATAATTTGCATGATTATTAACTTGCTAGAGATAGGGGTAGAAGGGCTATCAGGAGAACTGCTGATAGTATGCCTGATTTATGTTTTCAGTGTGCATGATACTTCTATGTTTGCTTTTTTCTGTGTTTGAATCCCTAGAGCTGAACGAACCCAAGACCTGCCGTGAAGCCTTAGGTTCCAAAGAGTCTCAGAAATGGATTAGTGCCATGAAAAGTGAGATGGACTCTTTGAGAGTGAACTAGACTTGGACCCTTGTACCTAGACCTCCCAATTGTTCGGTAGTTGAGTGTAAGTGGTTGTTTAAGGTTAAGGAAGAACCTAGTGATGTTAGGTTTAAGGCTAGGTTGGTTGCGAAGGGGTTTACTCAAAAAGAGGGGGTAGATTATGCAGAAATCTTTGCTCCTGTTGTTAAATTCACCACTATTCGTATGATGCTTGCTTTAGTTGCTCACCATGACTGGGAAATGAAATAAATGGATGTAACTACTGCATTTTTGCATGGTGAATTGGATAAAACAATTTATATGACAAAGCCTGAGGGCTTTGTGGATCCCAAGAGAAGTGAGCATGTCTGTTTGCTTAGGAAGGCGTTGTATGGCCTGAAGCAATCTCCTAGGCAGTGGAACATCAAATTTGATAAATGCATGATATCTTTGAAGTTCCAAAAATCTGTTTGTGATCATTGCCTGTATTTCAAGAATACCTCTTCTGTACTTGTATTTTTGTTACTCTATGTGGATGACATGCTGATAATTAGTTCTTCTCTGAATGCTATTAAAGATGTACAAAAATGTCTTTGTGCGAATTTTGCCATGAAAGACCTAGGTGATGCCAAGAGGATCCTAGGCATAAACATTGTTAGGGATAGGAGTAAGCGCACTCTTACTTTGAATCAGATTTCTTACATAGAAAAAGTTTTGAGTAAATTTAATATGTTATCTGCTTCTCCTGTTAATGTCCCTATGGCATCTGACTTTGTGTTAAGTAAGGACCAGTCTTCCAAGACTGCTCCTGAAATTGAGAAAATGAAATCTGTGCCTTTTTCCAGTGTAATAGGGTCGGTGATGTATCTTATGGTTAGCACTAGACCTGATATTGCATATGCGGTTTGTTGCTTGAGTAGATATATGTCCAACCCTGGTTTGCCTCATTGGAATGCTCTTAAGTGGTTGCTTAGATATCTGATTTCTACTGTGAAGCATGGATTAATTTTCTCTAAATGTGCTAGTGGTATTGATTTGATTGGTGATGTTGATTCTAACTATGCAAATGATAGAGATAACAGGAAGTCGACCACTTCTTATGTTTTTACTTTGTGTGGCTCTTGCATTAGTTGGAAGTCTCAACTACAACCTATTGTGGCCCTTTCTACCACTGAGTCCGAGTATGTTGCAGCCACAGAAGCGTTTAAGGAAACCATCTGGCTCAAACGCCTTGTCTCCGAAATTGGGTTTCTCAAAAAGGGACTTACCATTTTCTCGGACAGCCAATCGGCTATCCAACTTTGCAAAAATCCTGTATTTCACGATAGAACTAAGCATATTGATGTTAGGTTCCATTTCATACGTGATATTGTTGATGCAGGTGGAGTCAAGCTGTGCAAGATCCCGTTAGAGTTTAACCCCGCGGATATGGGTACCAAGTGTCTTTCTGCTGAGAAGCACTTGTCCTGTAAACGCGTGTTAAACTTTGACTGTGGATAACTGTGGATTGCGTAATATAGTGTTTGCCTGTTTTATCTGTTGATATTCCGGGTGACCCGGCGATGATGAGTCTTGTCACAACCTTATATTGTTTCTCTACACCACCTAGGACCAATAAGGTGGAGAATGTTGGAGGTATTGGTCCTACCAAGGCCTCCCTTCCACTTTATTTGCTCAGGCTTGCACCCTATTGTTTTACTCCCACTTTAGTACCTTTTCTTTGGTATATATCCTGATCAAATATATACCTATTTTGAGCGGTTGACTTAATCCACTTGGCGGGCCCCTTCTCTGCTTCCTGTCCGCTGCACTCTTTGTCTGGCAGCCTGTGAGCCTTTTCTTTGTCTTGGCTCTCACCCGTGACTTCCTTCTGACCGTTGCTATTATTTAGAGGCCTTGGCCTCTTCCTGTGAAAGTAGCCTGCGTAAGTTTGTTCCAGAGAGCAGTGCTCTCTTCTTCTCTTTCCCTTTGTGTGAGAATAGAGAGAGGGTCTTAGTGGTGAGAAGAAAAATTAGAGTGTGCAAAAGCCTCCCCTAGAATGTTGTGTGAGAGTGTGTGGAGATAGACCTGAGCCGGAGACGGATATACGGTCCTAACATGCAGCAATCAATGGGTTGCGCTCAAGCGCCCCTCTCACCAATGACATAAACCCTTCTTCTGTCTCAGAGAAGGGATTTCCGAGCACTTCTTCACTTATCCTTCCTTCTTCTTTCGCAATCCCTGTCACACACGTACACAAATTAAACAGTCTTCAATTATTGATTATTCCATTCATTTACATCGATTAAACAGGTTACTTTTTATTCAAGAATACCCAGAAATTAAATAGAAAGGAACATTACTGCATAAATTCTTGAGAAGGTTATTGCAGATGAAGTTGGCTGCCTCAGCCCCGCCATGACCGTCGTATACTCCGACGAAGGTTGATTCCGGTCCGGCGTCGACCTGACTGTAATCCTCAATCATATTATTGGCTTGAACGACGGCGAAGGAGAAGTCCCCGAAATGGTGTTTCTCGAGGTCTCTATACCAGAGAAGCTCGTCATCTTCTCTGCGCATACTCCTACTGCTTTTGTCCCTCCTCACTCGCGTATATCTCTTCAATGGCTTCCAGCAGCTTGACAACGATTCCCAGATAGACGGCATTGTTCATAACCTGATTCAAACACAAATGCAATAAAAATTCCCTCCCCAGCCAAAAGCGCAAACGTGTGCAGAAATTGAATTCAGAACCCAAGAAAGGAAAATGACCCATACAGTAACGAAAGGTGTTGGAAAAAGTGTGTTAAAAGTGTATTAAATGGTCATTTTGGGGCAATTATTTGAGTGGGGTCCACTTCCGATTTGGGTCGGGTCAAAGTGGTTTCGGATTGTCCTTGCTAAGGGCTACAATTCGATATATGGTACACTCAAAACGGATAACGGGTGAATGAGAAATTGTTTTTCGAAGTTTACCCGTTGGAATGGAGAAAACTAGGAAAATGTGGGCTTTAGTGTGGGTTCTTTCCCACACCGAAAATCACAAGGGAATTTGAACTCTTTATAAAGGGAAACCCCCCCTAAGGAGTTAAGATTTCTAAAGGGAAAGGCTCTCTCACGCGCGGAGGGGGGTGCGAATCAAATCCCGAAACCGAAGAACAAAAACCGCGACTTGCGTGTGCGGGCGACCTGCACACACGAATGCCGTCCGAAATTCTATCTTCTAAAGATAACGTTAATTTTTGTTCTTCCGGTACGTTCCTACTTTAATTTTTGCTCCATGCACATAAATGCCCAACGTCTATATGCTGCCATTGATGTTCCAACGTTCATATGAACGTTTTGGGTTGTTTAAGGACTGGAATCAATGCCCAACGTTTAGGACATTGATGTCCAACGATCATAACCCTTAAACAGCCATTAACACACCTTAATCCACCCCTATAAAAGGCTAGTAGGTGCTTTGCAAAGACACAACCTTTCATACACTTCGTTCACGTATTTTCATAGCTAAAACAGCACCTCTAGCACTTCATACAAACTCCTTCGGTGTTCTGCTTTTGTTCACGTTCGTTGGAACTTTAGTTTGAGTGCTAAACTATTGTTCGAAGTCATCGTATCCTGGGAAACGATCGTTGCAACGCTCCTAGCACCCCGGGAGGCAACGAATACGTTTTAAGGAAATCGTGCGTAGCACGAGCTTTGGCTTATTCTGCTTCATCTCATTTCTTGTTTTTCTTTAAGTCATTTTATTTAATTAATCTTTATTATTTAATTTTCTTTGTTTTTCGAAACACACCCAACAATCTTAAAACGTATTCGGTGATTGTTCTACTACGGTAAACAATCTTAAAACTTGTACTTTGTCACCTTGGTGAACGAACTTGTTTTTTTGTGCTTTCAAATAACGTAAGAAACGAAAAATGACTTCTCAAGAAAATGAAAATGTTGTTGGGCAGAATGCTTTGAACGGTTTGACCGATAATCACTCTGAAAGTGGAGCTCCGGTGAACAATAGTTCACAACGCGGTGCATCTGCTTTGGTTAACCAAAGGGCTATCCCTATGGTGACCGTGCCGAGCAATTCTGTGGAGAAACCCGAAAAATTTAATGGGTTAAACTTCAAGAGGTGGCAGCAAAAGATGCTCTTCTATCTCACTACTCTCAGTCTTGCACGTTTCTTGACCAAGGATGCGCCGGTAGTAACCGGGGGTGAGGTGGATGCGCAATCTTTCAACGCGGTTGAGGCTTGGAAGCATTCTGACTTCCTTTGCCGAAACTACGTGTTGAACGGGCTGCATGATGCTCTGTATGACGTGTATAGTAAATTAGCTACGGCTAAGGAGCTATGGAATGCTTTGGACCACAAATATAAGAGCGAGGATGCCGGTGCAAAGAAATTTGTTGTCAGTCGATTCCTTGATTTTAAAATGGTGGATTCGAAGACGGTCTTGAGTCAAGTTGAAGAAATGCAAATGATCTTCAACGAAATTCGAGATGAAGGAATGACGGTTAGCGAGTCTTTCCAAGTGGCGTCAATTATCCATTTATTGCCGCCGGCTTGGAAGGATTTCAAGAACTACCTTAAGCATAAGCGAAAGGAAATGAACTTGGAACAGTTGATCCTCCGTCTGCGGATTGAAGAGGATAATCGGAAGAACGATGGGAGACTCCCAATCGTTAGCGGCGCCAAGGCCAATGTGGTGGAACATGCAAAAGGCTCCAAAAATAAAAATAATGGGAAGAGCAAGCTCGGTCCCAAGGGAGGCGTTTCCAAACCCAAATTTAATGGAAAATGCTTCAATTGCAACAAGAATGGACACAAGTCCTCGGATTGCAAGGCACCACGGAAGAAGAAAGACTCCCAAGTCAACTTGGTGCAAGGTGGGCAAAAGGATGAAGACATCATCCTAGCGGCTGTGGTTACCGAAGTCAACCTCGTTGGATCCAATTCCAAGGAGTGGTTCGTGGACACCGGTGCAACCCGGCACATTTGCTCTAACCGGGAGCTATTCACAACCTTTGAGCCATCAAACGGTGAGAATGTGTGAATGGGGAATTCTGCTCATTCCGAGGTTGAAGGCACGTGCAAGGTGGTCCTGAAGATGACTTCGAGCAAGGAGCTGACTCTCAACAATGTGTTGTACGTCCCGGAGATACGCAAAAACTTGATCTCGGACTCTTTGTTGAACAAGCATGGGTTCCGCATGGTCTTTGAGTCGGACAAACTAGTTTTGTCCAAATCGGGAATGTATGTGGGGAAGGGGTATGCAGTTGATGGGCTGTTTAAGCTCAATGTAATGACTATTATTAATAATAATAATAAAATCTCTTCTGCTTACTTGCTTGAGTCTTCCAATGTGTGGCATGGTAGACTAGGACATGTTACTTTTAATTCTAAACGTAGATTAATTAACATGGAACACATTCCTAAATTCACAATTGATGTGAATCACAAATGTGGAGTTTGTGTAGAGGCAAAACTAGCGAAAACGTCTTTCAAATCGGTTGAAAGAAAAACGGAGCCACTTGAATTAATTCATAGTGACGTTTGTGATTTTAAATCAATACAAACACGTGGCGGTAATAAATATTTTATTACTTTAATCGATGATAGCACTCGCTATAGCTATGTTTATTTATTAAAAAATAAACACGAAGCAATCGATAAATTCATTCTTTATAAGAATGAAGTGGAAAACCAACTTAATCGACGGATTAAAATGGTTAGAAGTGATCGAGGTGGTGAGTATGAAGCACCAATTGGTGACTTTTGCGCGAGCGTGGGTATAGTACATGAACGTACCGCACCCTATTCACCTCAATCAAATGGTGTTTCCGAACGAAAGAATCGCACATTGAAAGATATGATGAACGCGATGCTAGTAAGTTCGGGCTTGCCACAAAATATGTGGGGCGAAGCAGTCTTGTCAAGCAATTACCTTTTAAATAAGGTTCCCCGGAAAAAATATGATAAAACTCCGTACGAGTTGTGGAAAGGCAGACGGCCTTCCTATCAATATTTAAAAGTGTGGGGGTGTTTGGCAAAAGTGCTTGTACCAACACCTAAGAAAATAAAAATAGGTCCAAAAATGGTGGATTGTATTTTTATTGGATATGCACAAAATAGTAGTGCTTATCGGTTTTTAGTGTACGATTCGAATAATCCGGATGTACATGAAAACACTATAATTGAATCAAGGAATGCCTCATTCTTTGAAGATGTATTTCCATGTAAGTCCAACGAAGGACCTAGCACGTCAAAACGAACATTTGACGTAGCTATGGAAAATACTAGCGAGGGATCGAGTGAAGAACCCGAACCCCGACGTAGCAAACATGCTAGAGTAGAAAAATCCTTCGGACCGGATTTTCTCACATACTTGGTAGAATTCGATTCGAATATTCTAACTTGTATGGTAGAAAATGAACCGGATTTTCTAACATGTTTGGTAGAAAATGAGCCACGGACTTATACGGAAGCCGTAACGTCTACCGAAGGACCGATGTGGAAAGAAGCCATCAAAAGTGAGGTGGACTCTATCCTAAAAAATCACACGTGGGAATTGGTTGATCTCCCTCCGGGATGTAAACCTTTGGGATCCAAGTAGATTTTTAAACGTAAAATGAAACCAGACGGTTCCATTGATAAGTATAAGGCCAAATTTGTAATCAAGGGATACAAGCAACGCGAGGGCCATGATTACTTTGACACGTATTCTCCCATGACGAGAATAAATTCCATTAGGATTATACTAGCGATTGCCGCTTTGCGGAATTTGGAAGTCCATCAAATGGACGTAAAAACCGCTTTTCTAAATGGCGATATAGACGAAGAAATCTATATGGAACAACCCGAGGGTTTTCGTGTTCCAAGCCAAGAAAAGAAGGTTTGTAAATTAATTAAATCATTGTATGGATTGAAACAAGCCCCTAAACAGTGGCACGAAAAGTTCGATCATGCAATGTTAATTAATGGGTTTAAGATAAACGAAAGTGACAAATGCGTCTATGTGAAAAGCACGGTAGACGGCTATGTCATTTTATGTTTATACGTGGATGATATACTCATCGTGGGTAGCAATAATCAAATGATTAATTCTACCAAAAGCATGTTAAATTCTGAGCCCCCGGACCCACATACTCGGAAGAACAGAAAGCACAAGACACAGAGTGGCGCCCTCGTCGGCCAAGACGCCCCCGTCGGCCGAAAAGGTGCCAACTCAGATTATGGTCCTGAAGCCAAGGAACCCGGGTGCCCTCGTCGGCCGCGCCCTCGTCGGCCGTGTCCTCGTCGGCCACGCCCTCGTCGGCCACAAAGACTCCACAGAACCGGATTCTACACTTACTTCTTTGTACAGCCCATTAGTGGCTTTGTATTCGGCCCAGTAGCGGTCCAGATGTAAATGGGCCTCCCAAGCCCAAGCCTTGGGAGCCCATCCCGTATTTTCTCTATAAATACTCCCCTTGGGAGTAGTTATAGGGGTTACAAATTCATTCTATTGAATCATAGTATTGCACTTCTCTCTCTAGCTCTCACTTCTCTCTAGATATACTCTATCATTTGGTGCTTTCATTGAGAGCTAGAACAATCAAGTTAGCACCCTTCGTCGCTACCAAGCACAGCTAACCACTGATCATGGGGAGAACTAAGTCAAACCGCAACCTCGTCAGCAAAACCATCCCTGAGGACCAAGAGCCCAGGGAGCACGATGAGGACGCCACGGCCGACCAGGCCGGCGGAGGGGACCTCTTCCAGGAGGCCTTCAACCTCACGACGGACCTCCGCAACCAACTCAACGGCGGAGCCCCTGATGCACGCCTCGGCTTGGACAAGAAACGAGCTGAGAAGACGGATCACGCCCCGGCCCAGCCTATGGCCGCGGCCTCTCCGTCCGTGGATCCACAGGTCCAGGCCGCGCTGTCGGCCATCATCGCCAGCCTAGCTCAGAACCCCACCGTCCTCAGCGCACTCTTGCCAAGGACCGGGGGGAACGTCACTCAACCTCCTCAGCCCCAACCGTTGGCCGTCCAGATAGGCAACGATGAGGGGGTGGTGCCCCAGGACACGGCGTCGTCCCACTCCCACCCTGCTTCCCC